CGGCCTGGGCAGGAGAGTAACCGGCACCCGCAGAGTCGTATTGCTCAGGGGACATGTAACGGTCGCTGCCAACAGTGTTCTCCAAGGTCCAGTTCTCGGTTGTAGCGAGGCCAAAGTCGCCAAGCTTCATTTCACCAGACTGGGTAAGGAAGATGTTCTCCGGCTTGATGTCCCGGTGGAAGATGCCCTTGGAGTGGATGTAGTCGACGGCATCCACGAGCTGCAGCATGAACTGTCGGACATGCTCGGTCTCGAGAGGGCCGTGGCCCTTGCGGATTGCTTCGTACAAGTCACCCTGGGGGCAGAACTCCAGAACCAAGTAGAGGTGAGCATCGGTTTCGAAGGTGTCGAGAAGGTTGACGATGTTGGGGTGGGATCCAAGGCGGCTGTGAAGAACGAGCTCCTCGGATTTCTCGTCAATGGCAAAGTCGAAACCGTACTCATCGGCAGCTTCCTTCTTAGTCAAGCATTTGATGGCAACGGTATCGCTGGTCTTGATGTCCTTGGCCATGAAGACCATGCCAAAGGAGCCGTGGTTGAGGGGAGAGATGGTCTCATACCGACCACCGAGGAGCACGCCATTCTGAAAGTTGTCTCTCAAGCATGCCATATCGAAACTGGAAAAGAAGTGTTGGAGCACGGGGTATCGAACTGAGAAACGACGAGGTAGCGGCGAAGGTGATGTTACAGCCTTAAAGCAAGCTTTTCTCCAAGTTTCTTCGAGGTTTCTTCGTTGCAGAGGAAGGAATATTCAAGTGGTTGCTGGATCGAGAATGATGGGTGTAAATGGCGTTGGGTTCGTATCGTTTGTTGTTGTAGATCGAGAAGGAGGTGGGTTTGGGTGTTACCAAGAATGTACAGGGTTGAAAGAACAAATCTAACAGGAAACAAGACGAATTTCTAACTCCTTTTCGTTGACTTATCAGAGGCTCATTGAGGGTATTTTTTTGCTGTAGACGGACATATGAAAGCGAGAGTCTGTTGTTGTTGATTGGTTGGTTGGTCGTAATGGGGTTGGACGATGTGGTCCGGGAAAAGACAAAGAAGTATCGTTATGAGGACATTGAAATAGAGCAAGCTTGCTGGGAAAAGTGTAGAGAATGGCGCCCGAAGGTCGAAGAAGGGGTTTGCGAGGTCAGCTTTGGAGAGTTGATTCGCAAGAGAAATGAAGGTGTCGATTCCTAGCTAGAGGATTCGGACTGTGTTTTGAGGTGGCACCCAACTGCTTATGCGGTTGATCGTTGGTTTACTGGCTCAAGTAGGCACAAAGGCGGGGGGTGACGTGAAAGTCGATGGCCGAGGGTAGATGTCGTTGGAAGTGTGAATTGCAACGGCTTGCAAGCAAGCTGACTACCGAGATCGGCGAGAGTAGTGGCTACGGAAGCATTCGAGCGTTGAGGAGTGTGGAACAACGAATCGACAGGCGAGGATCGTTGGTGAGTCGGTCGATGGGAGGTGGTAGCTCTTATCTCGAAGGATGAGTGAGGTGTCGTTGCTTAAAGCGTGGACGGATGTTGGGCGACAAAGGCGAGGGCCGAAGTGAGTCAAAGGACACGAGGTGTGAGTCAATGTTCAATGACAGCAAATTGCCGAGGCTGGTGGAGTTTGTAGGGAATCGTGGTTCCTGAGGCCTCTCTTATCCTATCTCTGTCGATGGGTTGACGGATTGATATACTGTTCAACTCGAAGGCATAGGGTGATAGGAGATTGCGTGATTGCTTGCAGTATGACTCGCGGGTGGGCACGCGGGAGCTGGCGTTGCGAGTATTGGTGGATTTGTTGATGTGCGAGTAGATGATAAGGAGGTCGGAGCGAAAGGTGGTGGTAAGGGAGGAGGTTGAGGCGGGGGAGAGGAGGCTAACAAGCAAGGAGGAAGAGAGGCCGTTGACGACGATGATTGAAGGATGGTAGAGTGAGGAAACAAACAAGAGAAAGGGCGAGGATGATGAAGGGGGAGTATTAGAGTAAAGTAGGTAAGTGCAGGCAGAGGCAGAGAGGACGGTACGGTAAGGTAGGTTGGACGAAGCAAATGGGTGGTGGTGGGTAGGCTGGTGCAGGACAGGGAATACAAGGCGAGAGAAAGAGAGGTGTGGAAGTAAGTGAGTGAAGAGAGTGTGTGAGCAAAAGACGGCCAAAGAAGAAGATGGAGGTGGATGGACGAGGATGGATTGGCTTGGATAAGACGGGATGGGAGAGAGAGAGGAAGCGACAAGAGAGCGAGGAACACCAGGACTGAGGAGCGAGATAGGCAGACCGGGGGTGGAAAGGCGAGCGCGGGAGTACGTACCGGAGGGACTGCGTATTGCGACAGCCCCGGGACGGTGAGGTGCGAGTACATTTGCGGCGATACGTACCGAGAAGACGGGGGCCCAGAACTGAGAAAACTGAGGTGGAGACGGGAGTCTAGGTAGGTACCTTACCTTGTGCGGAGCAGAGAGAGAGAGAGGTACCTGGATAGGTTCCTTACCTGAGCATGCTATGAGGTAGCATCCTTGGGAAAGGGTGACGGACGGTCGAGAAAGCGGTGGGGGAGAGTACGTATCATTCGCACTCACGGGGCTGGCACCTGGCACAGGCACTGGGCAGTCTGGGACAAGTCAACAGGAAGCATGGCGCGCTACGTGGAATGATGGGGGGAGGGGAGTGGGACGACTGGGACGACCGGAACGCACGCTTGACCAACTTGCAGACAGCAATTCAAAGCAGGATTGCTTGTCTGAGGTCTCTCTCAGACTCTCTTTCTCCAACCCTCGCCAATCCCCAGCACCAGACAACCGTCTCCTGCATATTATCCGTATGTATACCCAGCTACCCAGCAATAGCATGCACTACCCTATGCTGTCCTGATCCTCCTGCAGGACACGACTGGGCTTTCTTTCTCGCTGGGCTGGCAACGAGACGCGATGCAACGCAACCCAGCCATGCCCGAAAGACTCCATCCTGTCAGCCAGACCGACACTTCGATTGCTCGCTCTGCAGTCTGCTCAGATCTCAGCCCCCCCTTCGCTCGCTCTGTTGCTTCCCCAGACACACGACAACCTACCTCAGACATAGACAGCAGTCAGGTGTGTGAACTGTGGAGGAGGGGGGAGCAGCTCTCTCTCCATGCCTATGCAGCAGAGAACAGACGAAAGAGATGGCCAGTGAGTGAAAGGCCGGGTCAGCCCAGAAGCCCCACTTGCTGTCTCTGAATGGCCTGTTCTGATGTTTGTGTCTTCTCTCGAGGTGCATGTAGACATTGTAGACTACTTTGGTGTCCGTTTACGACTCCGTTAACCAACTCCACGCTTGGAGGTCCAGACCTCGGACGGTGAAAGCTGAGGGTGTGAAGACTGTGACACTGTGCCGTCAGCGGTGTCATTACGGGTTCACGGTGCCCAGTGTTGGCTGAGTCTGACGCACTGACGAGCCTCGAGGCCAACTTGGAAAGTCAACCATGTGCCTTGGTAAACCTAGTGCAAATAGTTGGTGTGAGCTAGGTACCGAACGGGCTGGCAGCCGTCTACCGAACGAGGTGTCCGTACTTCATCGACTTACCCAAGCACACAAGCACAGAAGAGCACATCTGTCTGCATCACTCAGCGGCCAGGCCAGGTGTACCAGACCAGCTGACTATTGACATAACCCACGGTGGATAACCAACGGGTCCCGGCACGGTGATTCTCGCCCAACTTGTACCCGTCCGCCCCGTCTTGAGAACCCATTCCATCATCTCTCCGGCCCCGTAACTTGCTGGAACTGGGAGCTGCCAGCGAGGAGGCAAGAGTCATACCTCTCGGGATCCTCTCCAGAGTCCACTGGGAAAAGAGAAGGGGGCAAAGAGGTAACTCCGTGCCCGCTCCGGCGAATGGTAGACGGGGTCTTGTGCTGTTACTCATCGTCGGCGCGGACGGCTCAACGAGACCGCTTTGATTGATAAAACTTGATTGCTCATGACGGAGTACACGGCACCAAAATCGTCCGCTGTGACTTCTATTGGCTTCGATGGATGGCGAATTTAAGACGAAAGCAAAGACCAAAACACGCAATCTCTGGGTAGCCGGTGATACCACTGTGTTGATACGTAAGACGAGAATGCGTTGCCGCTATGTATGTAGTTGTTGTGTATATTGGCCGACGCAACCAAGTAGACACGGGGTCGGAGCCGAATAACTTTGTCAATCAACATAAACATCAACAATACGGCCGCCGCAACAATAACAACCTACGAAGAACGCTGGAGTGAGGGGTGTCTGCAAAGCAATCAAACTCGTGCAGCAGCGTAACTATGACGAAGTCCAGTAGCGAGGTACGTCTCGGAGGGGGCCGATGGTGCGGGAGATGGCAGGTAATCTCAGTAGAATCAGATGTATCTCGCAAACCCAAGATCAGGGGGGATGGGAGATTGACCGGCGGGACAGTGCGACTGACAAGGGCCTCTCGGAAACTTGGTTCGAGATGTGGGAAGTTTCCTTGAGACAGCGGGCGAACCCCTGCGAAGTGCATGAATCCGCGAATGGCTGGCAGGCTGTTAGACCGGGGGGGGGGGGGGGGGGGGGGGGGGGGATGTTCGCAAACTCGCTGGCGATGAAGGTCCAAGGTCTGATGTGCGAAGTGGCTGCAAGGGACCGTCTGGGGTTGAACACTCGAGGTCTCAAACTATATTCCCCTCTCTGAATCTTCTGATTAGCTCTATCGCTCTGCGGCTTCGTGCAATATTGATGATTGGCATGATAAGACCTCAACGGCAGCATTGCGTGCGAGTGATGATATTTTTGTCACAGAGTGGTACTCCCTTGTGGACTGTTATGGAAGTAGATGTATGAATGAGGAAGACAGAGAGCCTAGAAAGGAGAAACGTACGGATACCATCTGAATGGATGGCACCGAGAAGCCAAGGTATTGCGAATACCTGGGAAGGAACGTGCTCCAACGTTTATTCTTACACGGTAGATCATTGTTGGACGGTGGACGGTGGACGGTGGACGGTGGTGGACGGTAAGCATGTATCGACGGAGAGCCTACCGTCCCGTGGAAGCGACGCCATGAAGTGAGCCCAGGCAAGTATCCGTACTGCGACTCCGTACAGAGCACCCGCGCCAAAATCCAGCGTATTGCATGGCTGTCGTCAATGCACTACCGGCTACGTACCTGACAGCCACCACGGGCACAGCCAACCATTGCCAACCGTCCTTGCAAAGCAGGATCCACTTGGATGCGTCTCTAGTCGCCACACCGCCCTGGGGGGTACGTGGTCGGCAAGTACAGCTCACACAGCGTCTGGTTGTCGACAGCTCCAAATTCGACATGACTGCCGCGTACTGCGAAGCAGCGAAATGCATGCAGGCTGCCAGCGCCAGGAAAAAGCCAAGCCATGCTGCCATGCTCATTGTGTTTCTTTTCTGCCACGGCAGCCGTCGCCAGCCAGTCAGGCCCGTCGACAATCCGGGGTGCCAGGCCAAGCCCCCCCAGGCCTCCCTCCCGTTGAGACGGGCTCCAAATCGCCTGCCGCCTGCAGCATCGACGGACAGACATAGTGTAGGGCGGTCGCAGCGGGAAGCGCGCAACCTTTCTTGCACAATGAGTGAGAGAGACAGAGGGCGATCGACGGGGTCCAGACGGCCTTAGATCCAAAACTAACAAGTCATAGTGCCAGCAAACCATCGCCAGGCTCTCATTCGCTCCTGGCGCCCATACAAGTCTCGCGTGTCTGCCAGGTACGGGTACCAGCAGCGCTGGCCAGCCGCCAGAGAACTCTGGGCCTCATTGAGTTGAGCCTGCATTTGCGTATCCCGTCTGGATACTTGGTACGAATACAACATGAACAAACTGCCGAGGGCGTTTCCTTCGGTCAGTGGACGCGGTGCCGGAATGAGCCACCGTGTGGATATCGTCCAGAGGAAAAAGAGGCCCTTTCTCCAAATATTATGTCACGCTCCCGGTGGGCTTTATTGATCGTGAACTCGTCGTTCTGGTTAGGTAAGGTCGCCTTATCCGTCCCTGGAATTCGGAAGACCCCGTGACTACTTAAGCATCCACGCCACGACCACGGCTATTCCTATTGGGTGTTTTGTTACATAAGCTATCCATGCTGATTCGCAGATCTGGATATCTCAACTGAATGGACGTGCCTGTTATGGCTTAGCTTCCAAAGATAGAGTGGCAACGTAACGGGTCCAGTATGTAGTGTACTCCCGTATGCTCGCCGGCTCGCAAAGGGTGTGGGATCCAGTCTTCTCGGAAAACGTGGACCTGGATCATGGCTGAAGAATATCGTTATTTGGTCATTTGGTCATTTGGCCGTGGACCGAAATTGGAGTGCATTGCCGCGGTACAGGCCACGTCCACCATCCCCCAGGTCCCCTGAACAAGAATAGTAGCAGGTTCGCCACTCGTCACGTCAGTTGCCCAGTCCTATGACTCCCGTCCCAACAAAAGTCTTGTGGATATGTCAGAGTAAGGAGGAGTCAGGACAGTTGTTCAACTCTCATTGCCAGACTATCAGTGCCATTGCTTGCTCTTGCCTCCTTCTCATTACAGCAGAGGCGACGTGGAGAGTTTCTTAGCAACTTGGAGTTGGGGCTGAGAGTTCGAGACTCTTGAGAACGTAAAGAGGCAGAGTCAATACCTAATAACCGAACACTGCCTATTACTTTGCAGCTATGAAGATTACGGATACTGACCAACCGTTTCCCCAACGGTCTTGAACCCCTCCGTTACCTTCAGTACATGTGTGCCTGTGTACTTACTATCCAGAATGGCAGAGACGGTGCCCACTGCCCAGACAGTCAGCACGCCAGCCAACAACGCCAGCTGTTTATTTCCTACAATCTCTCGACTGGATTCCTTGGGGTTCTGTTTCACTTGCTCACTTGCCTTGGTCTCATTGGTCGTATGACACTGCACTCCTTTCGACCTGCAGATGGGACAGAAGTATAATCGCACCCGCTCGACATCATTTTATCGCGTCGCGGACCTGTTCAAAGTATCCTTACTGTCAATCCCGTCCCGTATCTTGTTCGCACAACCAGCCAGCGTTCTCTGTTATCAGGCCGCCCCTCTGGAGTCTGAACTCTCTCATCCATGCTTGGAGGGGAGGGAAAGCGAAATGCTCACGGACGGCCACGAGTGTTCCCCAGAGTTTCCACGAACTTGGGAGGTCCCCAAGCGCCGCCGGCCCTGTGCCACGAATCCTTCTCCATCGACTTTCCAGAACAAGAAAACGGGCTTTCATGGGTCGCTTCCTGATTGGGGTCTAACCACCCCTCCTCCATGAAGGGTCCCAATCTCAGTGCTCTCCCCTCTCTGTTACAAGTTACCCCAGAATGATTATCTCAAATGACCCGTGGGCCGTTGATACGAGTGGGACACTGCGCCTGCGGAGAGCTTTATCTTGCATTATCGTAGATGAGGTAGCTATCTTTCACGGTTCCTCCTTCCGGTTCACTCCCAATCTTTGGCCGTAAGCCAACGAACGGATCTGCGTTCTATGTACAATTGTCCATCCAAAGTGTCCTTAATTACAGCTTCGCAACATGGCGACATTAGAAACCTTGAACCCGCTCACCCCCTTGCTTCGTATCGACAATCTGGCCCAGTCCGAGGTCTGGGGAGGGGCTCTAACGTCAAACCTTCGTCCGATCATTGAACGCTGATGTGACCCTCCAGTGCTCCCCAAGGCCACCTCACCTCAAAAGCTGGGCCCCCAAAGAGGCCTTTACATACACTGCTCACAGGCTCAGAGCTGATGCTTCTGCTATGTGTACTTAGCGCCCGTGACGCTGAGCCATGGCTGATGCCGATCACGGCCGCTCCTCGAGAGTGTTTCAGAGGTTGGCGCTCTTCGTCATCCCCCATTGAACCCAAACTGGTTCTTACGAAAGGTTCGTGGGATGCGTGGTCCGCAAGTTTCCCTTCATCTCAGTTTACCATGTGCACCTCGGGGAAAGTGAACAAGTATACAACCCAGTATAGTATGTGTGTGCCATCCAGACGACGTAATAATCGCGGAGTTCGCCAACTTGACTCCTGTCGTGTGGAAACGCATCCCTGGCATAGCTCGATGGTTCGGCAGGCCGGGTCGACGATGATGAAGGTATGGAGAATCAGATACAGGTATCACTCATAACATGAGTGTAACCATGACCTCCTTTTCCATCGGAACGGGAAATGGGGGGCCGCAGTCGGCGTTCGACTGCTTCTTACGAGTCACCACGTCTTTCCACATCCCCGGTGCCACTCCGTTCCCCAACGACTTGGTCGTGTGACCGGGCAATAGTGGTCTCACTGCTGAATGAATGACCCTGAAGAAATGTCCCCCGCCACCTGGAATCGATCCCCACTCTTCGCGAGAGAGTCAGAGACGTAGGAACATACGAAAGCCTCAATGCCGCAGTACGCTTATTACTGCGGGCAATGGGGGGAGGCTTGTAAAGTGCCAGTCAAGATCCAGCAGTAGGCGGTGCAGGCATCAACTGATAGAAACAAATCAGAACTCTGAACAACAGCTGATTACAATGTCTCGCTTCAACGTTTGATAGACTCCATGGCTTGTCTCGTCTTGCCGCCCTATCTGGTGGTACCGGTACTACACCAAACTGACTTCGCTTAGGCGACAGAATGTCTTGTAAAGCAAAGCATGCCACGATACTACCCCACCACCACCATCACCAACCAACCAAACGACCCCTTCTAGATGAGTAGAGCGTTTTGCAGGTGTTTTGCTTTTTGCGGCTGGCAGGAAACAGTAACTTCGTTGTAACTTGTTGGCGAATAAAACTGACCAATGTGACTGGTCAGCCGCAATACGAAAAGGGAGAAGGATGCGTTGGACACGGAACAGGCGGGCGAGCGCCACGGATCGTCGCCGGCGTCCAAGATGACCCCGCCGCCGCGAGCGGCGAGCTTCACGGGAATGAACACCGGGTATCTGTACGTTTCACTGTGTACTCGGGATGTGACGGAAGCACGCGGTGGCTTCTATCAACAATGCTCGCAATGATGTGACTCTCACTAATATCATCAGACGTGTCCTGAAGTTACTTCCCAGGTAGATTGAGTTGTGTGATATCCAAGTTCCTAGGTACCTCGATTTCAACCACCGTATCTGACTCTTCCACCAACTCCGTAATACGTTGATGTTTCGCCCCGTCACTCATACCGCTCTATCAACCTTACCGTCACCGGCTCCAAATCTCTGTCCAAGCTCGTGAGACGATGTGTCAAGCGGCGGCGGCGGCGAAAGCACATGTGGCCAGCAGGAAGAAAGAAGGAAAAAAAAGGTTTGTTGACCTCGCCCTCAGTTGCGTGTTGCGGAGGCGATAATCGGACTAGAGCCAGGGTCCGTGATGCCGCCGCGCGTGGTCATCGAGACTCGAGAGACTGTTGATTCTTCTCTTGGCCACGCGGTCCGAAAGTCTTCACCGTCTCTCTCTCCCTGTCCTCGCTCTTTCGTGACTTTCTTCGTTTCTCGCGGTGCAACTAGATCCCACGAAGCAGGCCGTGCGCCGCGCTTTCTTCCATCAAGCTTCCAGGTTTTCCCATTGATTCACACCGTTGGGACTCTAGCACGAGGACGTGCTAGCGCAACGACAGCAAACGCATTTCCGACCCTCAGACTGTTAGGCCAGTCAAGGCAGATTTGAATCCACAATGGCAAGTAGACGAGAAGAAGGCGTGACGTATCGTGATGTTGAGTACATCTTGCGTCCGTTCGGCATTGGGCGAGATTCACGCCGTTCGCACCCGTCTGCTCGGTCTTGATCCGCCGCTTGTCCATTGGCATATACCAACACCAATGGTCCGCTCATCACCATCATATGTCAGCGAGACACGTTGCTTGTTGGAGCGGGACCCCTCCGAAGCTCGAGCTCTATCGAACGAGGAGAGAGAGCATCAGAACGGCATGGCGCAATTAGCGGGTAGTCTGGCTCAACTGCCACACTTGTCGAATGCGGCGGACAGATGCATCTCCAGGCCAGGCTACGGAGTACTTCGTGCAGATTAGGTGCTCAGAAACAAAGGGGTCCAAATGTCGTGTGGCTTGTTACTCAACGCCAATTCATGGACCCTTGCTGTCGCCGTGGCCGTTTCCATTCCAAGTCCGTCTCGGCAATGTTTGTTTGCATTGTGGTTGACATCCCGATTCCCCATGCCCCTTGCGGCATTCTGGCGCTGGTATTCGTAAAGTAGGGAGATTGTCGTACCACGAGATCACAGATGTGACAAGGATTGATATCGCAGAGAGGCACGATTGGATGGAAGCACAGTAACGATGAGACTGCACGAAAAGGGCACGGCGTGTGTGTCGGAGGTCTCATCGGCAGGGGGGGGGGGGGGGGGGGGGAGGGGGCCGAACGGATTAGGAAAAAAGAAAAGAAACCATCAGCCACTTCAGAACTCCAGCCCAATAGCCTTGTTAACCGCAGCGCTTGTATCTGGCCTCTCACCTCTCAGAGTGTCAACCTGTCAAGAGCTATCAAACTTCCAATCAAGCCAAGAGATAGCTCCATTCTCCAACACATTCGGTCAGGACCTTTCTGGCGTGCTCGTTGTGGTTCTGGACTCCCGTTCCTTAGATCTCGGGCAGGTATGGGGTTTCTCGATACCATAATCAGCCTAACCAAGTTGCCAAATCCCAGGCTTCTCGGCCGGCGACCTGAACCAGGCGTCCGTTGAAAGGACTCGGGAACAAGGCCGGTGTGCTCCACGCAAGGTACCCGAGCGTATCGTCCTTGGGTCCGTCGACGCCCGTACGAAGGACCGGACGACGACCTTCTTTGCGCTTCTCTCGAGTTCACCGGTGACCTGTCAAATTCTCACGATGGAGGGAACCAGACCGCCTGACGCGTGACGGACTCGCAACCAGCTTCCCGCCGGCTCCCCCCTTTCCGGCCCCCGAGTCCACCGTCCGGCCGCAAAATGTTCCAATCCACCTGCCTACTCGCTACATGAAGCCTTGGAACAAGAGCCACTCTGCCACTGTCGTCGGCTGGTCCGCGGACGACGGACTCGTTCCAGCCGCTGCAGCTTGATATCGCCCCCAATTGAATCCTCCCTCTTCAGTCTTCACCGCTGCTTCAGTGTTAGTCCTGGTCATGCAATCGATGTCTTAACAGTCTGCTGCTATTGGGCCATGTCACCGGCTGCTACCATGGCACGCCTGGGTTGGTGTAGCCCTCTGCGACCTTATTCGCCATCTCCACTCACACACACCTTTGCGGCGTTGCGCAGCCCAACTCTCTCTCTCTCTCTCTCTCTCTTACACGGGCACACACACAATCACACACACATCACACAAGGCACACCTCGCACCAACTCTCACCTGCACCGGGCATCCACACGGCAAGTCTGCAGCTCTGCAACCGCGTTTTCCCGTTCCGGCCCTACTCGACTTCCGGACGCTGGCTTGACCGCCTTCTTCTAATCTCCCGCCGTCACAACCTTCATGCATGAACTAGCTAGCGCCAGCCAACCTGCCTCCGTTGAAATGCGGAAAGCTTGAATTGGGAGAGCAAACAGTTCTTCGAAACGCCGCTGAAGGATTTCACAATCTGGAAGCGAGAAAGACAATCGCAAAGAAAGGGAAAAAAAGTCTGATCGCGCGTCGCGCCTCTGAGTCTCACCGTCTCGACGTGTCACCTCGGGAATTAAATTTTTTTGCCCTTCCTGCTGCCTCACCTTGTCACGACAACGCACAGTACCAAATTACCAAGTTTTCTCTCCCTATAGACAGCTCACACAATGGCCCACAACCTCGGCGCTATTAGTGTCGTATTGCTCGATATCGGTGAGCGCCTTTCTTACCTGAAGCCGAACTCACCGCATCCAGAATAATCTTGTTGCATTTGTGGACTCAAGTCTCGATAACATTGCCCATACTGATTCGAGATTTTCCAAACATGCAGAAGGAACCGTTTGTCCCATATCCTTCGTCAAAGATGTGCTGGTACGTCGTCTCACCCCAACCACCCACCCCCTTGTCCATCGGGTAATTTGCGGCCCCCTCCGGATGACTCTCTCGAGGTCTCCGATGGCACGGAGGTGGTTTCTGTCATTCCGAGCCGGGCAACCGTGCGCATGCTCCCACGGCGGCACAGTCCCGCCGCTGTCAATCCGGTGCTGATGTCTCGGTTTCCAGTACCCGTATGCCGTCGATGCCCTTCCGGCAGCCCTAGACAAGCAATGGGACAATTCCGAATTTGCAGTCTACCGTAATGCGTTCCCTGAGGACTGCGTATCTGATCGATCAGTCTTCGAGGCGCACTTCCGCGACCTCGTCAAACGCGATGTCAAGGCCTCGTACCTCAAGGCCCTCCAGGGCTACCTCTGGAAAGAGGGCTACAAGTCGGGTGAAATCAAGGCGCCTCTCTTTCCGGATGTCGCTGAACGTCTTTTGTCCTGGAAAGAAGCCGGCCTACGCCTCGTCATCTACTCCTCTGGCTCTGTTCCCGCCCAAAAGCTCTTCTTTGGCTACACAGATGCTCAGCCGGCGGACTTGACGCCCCTCATCTCGGGCTGGTTCGACACAGTCAACGCCGGCCTCAAGACTGAGCCCGGCAGTTATGCCTCCATCCTGTCAAACTTCGCCGACACCAAGCCTGAGGAATGGCTATTTCTCAGTGACAACCCCAACGAAGTCACAGCCGCAATCAAGGCCGGAATGCAGAGCATTCCCGTCGTCCGCCCCGGCAACGCACCACTCCCGGACGACCTGAGCTCAACGTTGCAGCCGATCAGAGACTTCAACGAACTCAACGGCCTTGGATCAAAACACTGATACGCGACTAATTTGACTTGCGGGGTACCCGACGACGAATGTTCCTCCTAGACTTTTGGTAGCGCTATTGGAGACAAACCGGCATGGAAACGCCTCGAATACAGTCTGCATCCGGTGAACACCATCTTCAGCTTTCCCATCTCCGTCGACTGCACAATTCCACATCTCTTGTCCCTTCCATCCTTATCCCTTACTCTTCAAGCCAAGTCTGTTCTAGATGCCAGTCGCCCATTCCTCGGCTTCAGACACGTGGGATCTCATACCTAGCTTTACCCGCAACAGCTGATAAGAGACCGGAAACGAGATGGCCATCTTGTGAGAAACAGGCAGGTCGAAGCTGTTTCGACTGGAGCTCGAGACCTTGACGCCCCATCCAAACGCCAGAGGTTCCGCAGCAGCCGACAAAGTCCATATTTTGTCTCGCATGGATTGCCGATTGATCCAGATGTAGAACATGGCCTCGTCCGTCCTGTGGAAGGCAGGTGAAAGCAGCCGTGGCGGCCCCTCGCTTGCAACGGGCGCTTGCCAAATGCCCAGACGGCGGGGTTTATCGTGGACTCGTCGTGCAGACGACATACGTCCCACAATATAGGTCATCGTTGGCTTATTGGAAACGTGACTTCTTCGAGGCGTCCAAACGGATGCGAGAATATTGATGATCGTCTGCCGATCGCTGTGAGGGGAAAACGCTTGGAACTTGCACCACCTCAAGGCCCGCCTCGGCGTCTGATCGTCCAGTATTGCCCCCAAAAAGGCAGCCAGAATTGTGATTGGGGCCCGTCTTTGATCATAATGACAATGGCGACGTCCTGTTTTCAACGCACTTGATGATCTGCTAGCCGGCTCCTGAGACCAAAGCAATGGTTCAATCTGGTGGCACGCAATCATGGACCCTTCAGTGTGATTGTGAAGTTGTTACGATTCAGACCCGGGTTGAGCTCCTTCTTGGCAAATGCGGGCAGCGGTTTGCTTGGAGCATTCTTTCTCTTCCAGAATGAGTAGACAAGCTTGTTCGTGATCTTTCCCTCAAGTTGGACGTATCCCAAGGACGTCATGATCTCGACCAACCGATCCTGAGAGAAGTACCGCGAGTTGTCAACACAGCTTCGGGGGAGGACCAAGAAAAGTGAGGGAAACAGGGCGCGAGTAGCATCCGATAGATCGTCTCCGGGCTGACGGAGAAATGAAAGCGTGCGGAGAAGCATCTCACCGCGGAGAGAGTGGTCAGGAACGTAGTTGACCACCAAGCTGAGTGATATGATGTCAAACCGATCCGAGTCGTCCATTGGTAGAGGTCGCTCCATGAAATCCTGCTGAACGATGCCCGCTCGTTGGCTGTTGAGGTCGATGAGAGTCATATCGAAGAAGCCGCTCTTGGAGCAAGCGTTATCGGTACTGAGAGCGCCCACCTCGAGCATTCGCAATCGGCAATGCGCAGCGCCCTCGTCCTTCCACTCATCTCGACTGCTCTTGGACTTCAGGGGCTGGAGATCGGCTGATCGCAACCAGTCGAGGAGAACTCTTGAGCTGTCCCCGCCGCGATCTACTCGTTGGCCTTGGAGACTGGCTCGCTGGTACTCCTCTAGCCCGCCGAGGGCAGAAATTTCGGCTGCAACCGCAGCTGCCTCTTTCTCGTCATTTCGAGCCAATGCTTGTTGGCGCTTCTTCTGCAGTGTGTGGTGAGTGTTGATAAGCGTTCTCGTCTCCTTGCGAGAGATTGACTTTGCTTTTTTGATAGTGGGAGGGCGGCCTCTTGACAACAGCTTGTTGGCGGACTTGGTCCTTCCCATGTTTCCGACGCTTGTTTTGGGAGAAGGAGGAAGACCAGAATGAGAATCAAGAAGACTTGGTGTTTGTGCTCCTGAGTCGAGCACTTCGAATGAGTTTTGAGAATACTCAATGAAGTCAATATCAAAATCGACCTCGCAGGTGCCGTGGATTTTTTTCTTCCCCTGCTCGATGAGTGTAAGTCGAGCCTTACATAAGCGGTCCGTTTCCATTCGGCAAGCGCCAGGTTGAGTTAGACTAGGTAGGTTGCCAGCACCGGCGGAATGATTTTCCACTTTGCTTTCCCCGCCTCTTCGGATACGATAAGATAACGAATCGACATGCACAGACCAATTCAACCCTAAGCCCACAGATGAGAAAAAACATTTGACTTTCGGAATCTCTTCTTTTTCCATTCGAACTCGACACCGACGACAACCAGCTAACCCGCCCAACCAGCCAACATCCCCATCAGTCAAAATGGCCCCCAAGGACGCGAAGAAAGGTACTTGAAAACCAACTCCCGGCAGCAGCAGGAACTATACACTTGCGAGCGCAACACTCCCAACTTTTATACACACAAAACCCGCACACAATGGCGACTCGACAAAATCTCTTGTTTCGTCGACAGCAATGGGCAGAACGGTGACGGAACGGGGGATAACACCAACAATCTCTACGCCGAAGCCTCTCTTCTCCCGGAGCATCATGCTACAGCAGATTTTGCGAGTTCTTTTGAAAATAAAGAGCGATTGCTGATGCGACATCTCTACTCTAGGCGGTGCCTCCAAGGCGCCTAAGGGCTCCAAGCAGGCCAACAACGCTGCCAAGGCTGCCCTGAAGGGTGTAAGTACAAGCAAACATGAACACTCTCCCGTTATACTCCAGGGAAAAAGATAATCTTCGTTGTCCATGAAGTGACGGGCACTATCTGCAAAAAACAAAACAAAAAAAACAAGCAGGAAGCTGACAACCATCTTCCTTAGGCCCACGGTCACTACAAGAACAAGGTCCGCTACACCACCTCGTTCCACCGCCCCAAGACCCTCGTCGTCTCGCGCGCTCCCAAGTTCCCCCGCAAGTCGATCCCCCACGCCCCCCGCCTCGACGAGCACAAGATCATTGTCCACCCCCTCAACACCGAGTCCGCCATGAAGAAGATTGAGGAGAACAACACCCTCGTCTTCATCGTCGACGTCAAGTCCAACAAGGCCCAGATCAAGCAGGCTCTCAAGAAGCTCTACGACATCGACACCGTCAAGATCAACACCCTGATCCGCCCCGACGGCTCCAAGAAGGCCTACGCCCGTCTCACCCCCGACGTCGATGCTCTTGACATCGCCGCCACCAAGCTGGCTCTCGTTTAAAGCGGATATTACCTTTCGCTAGGGACTGGAAGTGGGAATGGGAAATGAAAAAGTAAAAAGCTATTCGGGTTCATTGACTGTAAAAGGCATTGGCATGGGCGTCTCAAGGTTGTTGATACAGATTCCCCAGGAGTGGCATCTCCTCGAGGGCACCAATCGATTCTCCCGGTACTCAGGCTGGGGTACCATGACCGTGTTCAGTCTCAAAAATGCTCATGAATGCGGAATTCGCTTCCTGTGACAAATTTCGTCCATCGAAACGTCAACTTGCAATTGTGAAATCAATGTGACATGTGCCAGATGGCGTTGTATGACGATGGGTTTCCCATTCTATCTCGTAACATAGTTATACATATGCTTGTACATGAGCAACCTCCGTAAGAGGTTCTCCCCCTATACCCAGTCTAATCCGGTCTACCGTTTCTCATTCGAGCATACCGTTTCCAAGCGTTCCGTTTTCTGTTTTCTCCAGCATGGGCGGATTCTCCGACAGTCCCTCCCGACCCCTTTAGCCAGAGCGCATGTTGTTCAGGTGCTTCATCGTAAGGAAGTTGACGTCGAGGAATCTGTCAACGCAGTTGGCCAGGCATCCCTCCTCGCCCTTATCCAGCTTCGAGCCGCGGATCGAGCCGCTGACGCACTTCTTCCAGCAAATCTCGGTCAGAGCGTGGGTTTCTAATATCATGATTCGAATTAGCTGCCAGTTATTTTCTTGCTGCGCCGCCATCCGGTTGAACCGCGCGAGGCCGGGACCGCGCACGTGTGTGCTACCAATCCCTCCTCTACAGTCTCCCATCGCCTTCAATCTGCCATATTCCCCGGGTACGTAATTCCACGGGTGAAGGGGGTATACTAACGTGACTGAATCTGAGATCTCTGCTGCTCATTGGCGAGGAATTGGCGGAGCTCGAGCTTGTCCTTGTCGTTAAGCTTGTCGAGGTCAGAGTTCTCGAGCGCTGACCTTGAAGAGTCCATGGTTGCGGCTGTGGGATAGTTTGCCCTGTGATTGACAGTATCGTTCTTCGATATGGATTGCGAGTACCGAAAGGAGGGCGTATGTTGGTTGCGACGAAAGGTAAGTAGTATGGTAGAGGTCGAAAGTCTCGAAGTGTTTGCCGTCTGGTGCTCCTTGAATCCAGCTTTTTTTTTGTCTCCACTATAACATGGACTTCTCCCATTGGTTGAGTCTGTGCGTAGCTCAGAAACCAAGGGACAGTCATCATCATTAAGGCATTCACAAACAAGCCAAGTAGGCAATGCAGTGCAAGAAACCTCTTTCTCAACTTCCATGATAGTGAATTGTGGATTGAACAAGCCTTGTCGATTCCAGGCGTAGTTTCAATGGGACATGTCTTGAAGCACCTCGAAACCGCTTATTATTCTCTCGCATCTACCAAGACTAAAACTAAAGTCGATTATCTGACAGAACAATACCATTATCCAATCCCATTGCTTGTTTTATTGCTTGTACAAGCCATCACGATTATACCTCATGCCCTACTAGTATAGCGGCATGCAAAGGAACCAAGTCGCAGCTTTGACAGCAGCGCCCCAATGCGTTCGTCAGATGTACTTGTACTTGCGAGCCAACGTCATGCTAACAACGCTGAAGAGAATCAAGCTTCCAAGGATGACAAAGAATGGAACAAGAGAAGTGTCCGCAAAAGGAACCGGAACGTTCATGCCGAACAGTCCACAAACGAGGTTGAGTGGAACGAGAATTGACGCCAGAAATGTGATCTTGCTGAGCACCAAGTTCGTGTGTGTACCCTGGGAGATACTGTTGATAGAAAGCTGGGCCAAGTAATTGCTGTGGGAGCGAGACAGGATCTTTTCGAAGTGGCCGAGGTTGGTGACCATAGTGACGACGTGATCCTGTATATCGCCAAGATAAAGTCCAATGTCCATGCGAGGGGTAACCTTGTAGTTCTCATTGCAACGCTTGGTAAAGCCTCGCAGGACATCAGCTTTGCCTCCAAGAAGGCGCATTAGAGCCATGGTGTTCTTGCGCACTCGGCCAATGGACCGCAGAAACTGGTTTGAATCGTCCTCGCGGGCTACAAAGACACCGTCCTCAATGGCGTCAGCCTCCAATTCAATGTCACGGATGACTGGAGCAAAGCAATCCACGATATCGTCACTATACAACATATTAGCACGGGTATTGACATTCGGCTTTGTCCACTTACATGAGAGCATAGCAAATCCAGTCGCTGCTCAACGCAACGTAATCCCTGAGCAGGGCAATACGCTTGCGCACGTGAGAAGCGTGGGCATTAGGCTCGAAGCTGAAGCTCAGGGTACCCTCGCGGAAGACGACGACGTAGAGGTTGTACGGCTCGTACTCCAAGCCGTCGTCTTCCTGAACCGGGGTAAAGGATCGAAAGCTTGCAAAGTAGTACGAGGGAAACAGCTCAATCTTTTCCCGCGCCTCTTGGGTCGTAATATCCTCAATCGTCAAGGGATGGATACCGAATGCTTTGCAGATGGCGGTTACCTCCTCCTTCGTAGGATTGTTGACGTTCAACCACCAAACTCCGTCAGACTCATCGGCCGGAAGCGTGAAAAGGCCCCGAAGATCCTCGCCGGGAAGAACCAAGTCCCCGAGTTCTGCCGCGTGAATCGTTGATTCCCAAGCCGAAGAGAAGAAGCTGAACCGGTTAGGGTCCAGAGGCTGTTGGGCAGCCGCAGACTTATTCTTAGCCTCTTCGGCGAGATGCTCCTTCTCTGAGATCTCCTGCTCATCAGAGGTGTCAGATGGCATATTGACAATATCTCCATCTACAGTGCTGAGTTGCAGCTGAGGCTGGGCCTCAGACGTCTGTGTCTGTCGTAAATCCGGGAAGGCACGGAGAGAGTCGCGGCGACTAGCCGTTCGCGACGCCTGGTCAGACTGGACGAAATTCTCCAAGTAGTCAAAGTCGATGTACAGCTGGTCTTTGCGCCGGGGATCTTGAAGAGGGAAGCAAACATCCTCCTCCGCTGACTGGTTGGTGGCCAAGCTGGCGCCGTCATCCACCGTGTAAGGTCGACTGCGATGGCTACGACGGCTGCTGATTGAGCCGGCGCGATGCAGGTTCTCTTCACTGCCTTTCCTCTCGGCCTTGGACTCGGAGAAAGACATACCACGCTCGCGGCGGCGCGCTTCAGCAAAGGCCTTGACCGAATTGGGCGGGGAGATGGATCTCTGATCAGTGATGGTCTCAACGGTCGGTCGACGGACCCGTCGCGCATGCGGCGAGACGTCCCCTCCCTCGTCATCGACAATTGCCTCTTCAAAGTCCCGAACCCGAATGCTTGGCGACCGCTCTCCGGATATCGAGTCGGGTCCAAGCAAGCGCGCTCCATAAAGCGTATCGAAAGTGCCCCTCCGAGGCCGCTCCGGGTGAGGGCTGGTGGCGACCTGATGGCGGTGGTCGTCGAGCTCAGGGATCGGCGTCTTGAATCCACCCTCAGAGATGTTCTCCTCGTGGTCAGACATATTGAGGTTTGGGGCTGAAAGCTGGTGGTATTGCTTGTTTCAACAGCCGACAAAAGGATTAACCTGCTCGTGTGTGGGTAGCCCGTTTAGGGGAATGGGTCATAAGTCTCAAACTCGTTCCTCTTGGAAGGCCTCCGCAACTCTTGAATCAGGCGGAAATACCCATAACTGATGCGTATTCAATGTAGACCGTAGCCGAATCGCACTCCGCGCGGCCGGCGCGGTGTGCGCTGAAAGGGTAGCGAGCTTCCAGGGTGGCTGTGGTCGTGCCAGTCCCAAGAAGGTGCGTATACGCTGAGGAGACAGCGTTAACGCGCAAAGATGCTGAAGATGTGATGTGATGTTTCCAATTATTCCTTTTTCGATATTGAAACCTGATTACGGAGGTTTCTTGTGCACTCCGCTGTAGACCCAGAAACCAGGACCTCGGAGTGAACAGGTGGGAGAGGTAGCGTCAGCTGCGAGTGAAGCCAACTTGGTGGTTTGAAGTGTCGGGTAGAATATCAAGTGGGTCTTTCGACCTAGGGAACTCGAAAGTCGATTGCGATTTTACTGTTTATCCCGCAGTTCGAAAAATGCAATGGTGTATAAGGTCGTCGAGGTAGTTGTTTGTTTATACGAGCGGTGTTGGGGGAATCGGATGACGATCGAGGTACAATGGTCGTCGGTGGTGCGAATGGCGACCCAAGGGTGCGGGACTTTGTCTTCGTCGTCCGGAAACAGTATGCGATTGTTGTGGTAGGTCGCTGGATCAACAACCGGAACAAGGTCAGACTAATCTGATGAAGAAGAAAGCTGCTCTGACTGCTGCACAATCAAATGAGCAAAGATTTGGTTTGCACAGAAAAAGGAGTTGGGACGACAGGTTTTTTTTGTTGTCCTGAGCGTGTTGAGGTTTTTTTGTGAAATTTTTGGTGGTGAATGGAACCGAAAGATGACGGGGACGGCCAGAAGGTGATCAAATGCAAGGGAAGATTTCCCGGTTCTGAGTAAAAATCCGACTTTGGAGCCAGTGAGTCGCTAAGCTAGGTGGCGGCACAGGCCAGCCGAGAGAGACAGAGAGACTTTTTTCTCAGGTTCCAGGCCAGGATATCTGGGTGCCCGCGGGCGTGTCATACCACGGGGTGGAGCCGCGGCAGCACCGTGTGACCCCACACAGTCCCGTTAGCCTGTTTAGCCTGTACCCCATCGTTCGCCTTGTGGTTGGACTCTAGGTGCACCCAATAGCAGCTGCTAGAGCAGGAACATGGTGCCGAGTGGAAGCTTGCAAACCAGACCTGAGGACCAGAGTCCGTGCTCGACTTGCTTCGGAAACGGCATACCTGTTCCTTAATTACCTACTTACCACCTTACCTTACCTAAGGTACTTCGAGACCTCTGCTCCTTCCGCCGTAATACCAGATCATCAACTGTTGATCGTCTCGAGACCACAGACCGAACCAAGTATTCGGACACACATCTACGGTCCGACATTCTGCACCTACGACTTGGCAAGGGGGTTGTTCACCACGCCGATTCATCCTCCGGCGCATCTTCCATCACCAACCGGCCCGGCCAACAACCAAAAAAATAAGCCTTGGACAGTTCCGCGGTGCTAGTTACAATGGCCGATCAAATTCTCGACCAGGTTCGCGATATCGCGGAAGGCCAGATTGTACGTCACCGGTGGAAACCGACCTTCCCCTCGGCGTCGTCTTTGACGCCTCTTTCACTTCCAGAGGCTAACAATATGTTCCCTACAGGACTTTGAGGGCCAGAAACTGGCAGATCTCCTGGCGACTCTACTTCTCTCGGCATCTGGAGTAAGTTCCGACAAACGCTCGACTTCGACATGATGGCACGCCGTGCTGACTTTCCCTTCCCTATAGGTTCTTGCCTTCATCATCGGGTTTATTCTCCAGGACATCAAGCTCGCAGTCTACGTTGGTTTGGGCGGAACCGTTCTCACATTCCTCCTCGTCGTGCCTCCTTGGCCCTTTTTCAAGCAACATCCAGTCAAGTGGCTACAACCTGGATCCACGTCCGGGTCCGGAGCACGGAATGTGGCTACAATAGAGAAGTCGGGATAGCCGGTACTGAAGACGTCAATTGTTCATCAAGTCATTTGTGATGTATGGTTCCTGCGTCTGTAACCGTGCCCACCCTTTAGGGCCTCTCTAGCTAGCTGTTTCAGCGAGCTGGACGCAGCCCTCGCTCGTCAGGAGAGTATCACGAATTGTGTCCTTGTTCTGCGTAGCCATGACACCACAATGCTGCGTATCCATTTACCGAGATCCTCGCACCATTGTCTTGCGCCACCTCAACGACCGTACTTCTGGAATTCCCAGTCGCGGTTGTCCAGCGGGCAGACTTGTCGAGCCTTGAGCCAACGAGAGATACAGTGGAAATGGAAAGCATGCTGCGCGTAGTTTAGCAAGAGTAGGCAGAGGCAATAAAGAGAACATACGTTGCAGATACCCCAGGCCACAGTGCACTCTTCACTAGTAGCGGACGCTTGGTTTGCCTGGCATTCTATGCCTATGAATTGTTAGCATGCGAAAGAGCGAAACAGCGGGTTACCGCGTCGGCATTCAACTCACAAAGATCCATGATGTGGTTTCTGCAAATGGCGCAGTTGTCGACGACGATGTCCCATGCCCACAATGCAACGGCATTCCACTAGAGGCACTTGTAAGCTTGCGTCAAGCTATCGGTTCCCATCTACTCACCTTCTTGACTTCGAAGCGCTTCTTTGCGTCGACCGCCTTGCTGCTCTCGCCATCGGCGGCCTTCTTGGCAACGGCAGTACCGGGCGCATCCGTCATGTCGACATCGGCCATGGTGGTATGTGGGATCGGGTACGGTTCGGGCTACTGTCCAGGCGGTGAGTTTGAATACTGCGCGACCAAGCGATATCGGACAGAATCAGGATGTTAAGTCGAAAATCGAGGGGGAAGCAGCGGTTCGGCAGGGGAAGGCTTGTGGATAAAGCGTGAGAAGCGTACCTTTTCTATGTCTTTAGAGGTGGTCAGCTAAGGTAAGTCCGATCAATGAGGTCAAAAGGGTTGCAGGCGGGCAGGCTAGCCCGTGTCGAGCCTTCCGGGTTGCGGGTAATTATCTTACAGAGATGACTCAAAGCGACTCTTCAAGTTTGCAGGGAGAGAAACAAGCTCTGGGGGATTATTGCGGCCTTTGTCGTGTCTCGTTTGCTGGCCGGGCTTCCGTGGTTTGGTGATGCATACGAATGGCGGGCAAGAAAGGCTGCCAGCGGGCCCTGGTCCGTAAGGCAGGCGCCTCATTCCACGCCTGCCTTGGCGGGGTTCATGAGGCGTAGAATGACCTACGGGTTCCCTTACGGTGTACAGTGCGGGAAACGAGGTCGCTGCTTGCCCCTCAGGACCGGGACTCAAGAGTCTCCCGCTGTAGGTAAGGCAGGGGTATCCGTAATACGCTCTGTGGCTCTGTAGGCCTGCCCACCTCATCTGAGCGGCAAGTATTACCCGAGGGGCACTAGAGATGGGTGACTTTAGCGAGTAGATTACCTAAGCATGTCATTATGCTACGGTGCTCAGTCAATGCAGTCTTCCATTGACGTTACGGAAATGCGCACTGGGCTGCGAAAGGACCGACAAGTCACCACAGAATCTGATGGCATGAGATACATTTAACAAACACTTTCCATGGCAAGATACCTGTACTATGGAGACTAGTACTCACCCACTCAGCGGAGTCTCAGTGGAATATCTTGCAACGGCTTCCGCCATCTGACATGTCGGGAGTAAGGGACTTAGATCCAGCATTTGTCTGACTTGGTAATCGCACTCAGGACCTACTTTTAGGAGCGGCCTGACTGGCCCGACCTTCAACAAATTGAAAGCACGCCTTGAAACCTGGCTACTGGTAAAGGTAACGAAACCATGGCCGTCGTCCAAGGCACTTTGTCCCTGCTTCCAACCTTGACTCTTGAGGAGTCGGAGTGACGCATTTCCTCCGAAAGCCTAGGGCCGTGACTCGCACCAGTAACTTGTTGCCAATTTTGGCGATGGAAAGCAAGGATGGTGAGGTAATGTTAGCCGTCCGGAGCTGAAGACAGGAGTAAGGCTGGAAGCGCACGTGAAGGGGTCGAGACGGAGATCCACCTCTCCCTTATCGGAGGTTACTGAGCCACGCGTAAGGTGCCTATGAGACAACTTGATAGGGGGGGATGGGAAAGGTACCTGCTTGGATGGGATCCATGATGGGATGGGATGGGATGGGATTGGCAGTGACACTGAGGGGACGGGATGACATACCTGCCACTGAGATGCGCTACCTACTGTGTACGTAGGTACCCAACGCGCCTTGTCAGTGTGACCAGGTACCGTCCCCCCACGAGGAGAGGTTCAGGTTCCTCAGCGAACAAGCCCAATCTGGGCAGGTTTGGCAAGGCACACGCACACCAGGCATCTCCACCCAGCTCGAGATCTCCTAGCACCGGGGTTACTTAAGCCCCTCTCCCCTCTTTCGCCGCATATTGTGGCTTTGGTCCTCCCCCGACACTTTCCATTGTCACCTTACTCGACTCTTCAGCCCGTCACTCATTTGTACGGCAACATGAGCAGAGAATATACACGCGCTTTTCCTGCATCAGACACTGACTTCTACTCTTCGCTTTTACTTTCTCCCAATCCGCTTCCTCAAACAGATCATCCTCCTGGCGCTTGAACTTAGCACTAAACACTACATCGGAACAACGAAAACCCAGCATCTCTAACCTTGCTTCAGCCAGCGTATCGAAGCCTTGTGACCGCCAGATACCTGCCTTTCGCCACCATCATATCCTTACCTTCTCAATCAAGGCATTCTTTACCTTCAGCGACCGTTGTCTAGGAATACTTCCCCTTTGTCGACTTTGACTTACCCCGGTCCCCACCCCGCGGTCGCTGCGACACATCTGATTACGCCACTCCTACGACTCAGAATGCAAGAAACAACAAATCAAGCAAAGCCAACGCCCACGCGTCGCCGACAGGGTCGGGGCGGTGGCGGCAAGGCTGCTGGACAGAAGATGTATGCATCCGAGACCGACGTCGCCAACGTCTCAGCGCTGGCCTACGAACAAGCCGGTCATCCTCATACCCCCCAGAAGTCATACTCTGGCTCGCCTGAGCCGCAGTCCGGCAACGGCAACCAGCCTGGCTCTAAACAGCGCTCTCGCAACAAACCCCGAGCGAAGAACCCCAATACCGTAGCTTCGCCCGACGTCACCCGCCAAAACCGCCGCTCGACCCCTCAGAGCATCCCGGTAAACAAGTCGGCAGCCGCCGCTTTCGCTGGCGCAACTTTCCATGCTTCGCCTGCTCCGTCAGCCTTACCCATGCCCAGCTTCTACTCCAGGTCTATTCCCGAATCTCCAGGACCCAGGCCGGACGCTCAACAGCAGCCGTCACCTCCGGCAACCGAACGCCAACGTCCGACACCTCAGCATCCTGCGACCGCACCTAGAGCTCGCGAGTCGCCCCTTGACGCCATTTTCAGGGCCGACAGAGCTGAGAAGGAACAGGCGCGACGATCCAGTTCACTCAACTCGTCCGTTCAGACAGACGGTTCTGAGTCAACCGCTGCCCCTTCGCCCAGAGAGGCCAACCACGCTCCTTTCGTTGCAAAACCTTACAACACTCACCCTGGGCACCGTATGCCACTCCAGAGATCATCTAGTGGGATTTCGGCCCAGGAGCTCGACGGCTTTTCGGGAAAGCCCCTTGGTCCCGCCTTCTCCACCCCGTACCAAGAGCGAATCCGTGCTGCCCGCGGCGCTCCCAACCAGTCTCCAAATGGTACAAGACCTTCGCAGATCTCGCCAGCTGAGGACCGCTCTGAAGCTCTGAAGAAGTATCTCTTCGGAGGCAAAGGCATGGCTTCGGCTGCTCAGCCACCGGCTTCGGCTCCGCCGGCTCAATACGTCCATAACGGCTTCATGGGAAACAATCCCGCACCTCAGGGCGACCAATCTGCGGACCTTCGCGCCATGGAGGACAACTTGCGCCGCATTCTGAAACTCGAGTCGCCTATGGCATCTACACAATCTGGGGATCGTCCTCTGTACTCTTAGGCGGCCATTGGCTGTCGATTGCAAACAACAAGCTTCATTACACTTGGTAATTCGGGCGTCACTTGGCTGGCTGGCTTTGTGTCGTTGTTCCTCTTTGGAAGACGCAGGGTTACTGGAGATCATCTGGCATGGAAACGGGAGTCTGCGCTGCTTCTATTTGATATGATTTGTTACTTTGTCTTGCTGGGTGTCTTGGGGTTGCGGGAAAGCGGGAAAGCGGCAGGAGCTCGCAGTTGCTTTACGTGCCTACCTGAGATTCTACTTGATACCCGAAAGCGACGTTGATGTTTTACCCTCAGTTAGGACCAATTCATATTCCGTTTCCATCTATCATGTCCGATTTTGTTTGTCTCCAGTCAGTCTGAAGACTATCAGATGTACATCTAGTAGTGTCCATGGTTCAGCTTTGGTCTGATATTTTTTATCCTTGGGGCACTTGGACGGTTAGCAAGAAAGGGTGGCGTTAGATGCTTGGGGGAATGGCTCTCTGCAGAGTCAATATATCAGTGATGTTTCTATCCTTTGATCTTGATGAAGCACCATGGCTAGGCTGCGTGGGAAGATTACGATCATAGCTCGTGAACATCTCTTTGTCTGTACAAGTAAAACCCGGGTATTAGAGTCTAGTATTGTGAATTTGCTGACCAACAACCGTGATGCAATGTTCTCCAGCTACCCTCTTCGATACATGACATTTCGGGCCCTTTCTTAAGATGAAGTTTCTGCGCTCCGCCAACTCTGGGAGTAAGTTCATGTTATGGTGAAAATCGTCCTTGAACCAATTCAGATTTTGGGAGATAGACGTGAAGCTCTTCAAGGGCTTACTCCCAGAGGCTCAGATAAACAACGAGAGGGGTTTCACGGCCACTAAGGGTGAGGTCGTCGCCGCTGCCACTGTAGATATCCTGTTCAATGCACTGATATTCATATTTGTTTGTGCTTCTTAATTGATCAGACACCGGAGTCCAATATATCAAGTGCATGGCTTCTTGTTGAGACAATACTATGCCTGTCATAATGCAGCATGGGAGTAGGCGTGCTCCTGTCAAGGGCCCGGCTCACAACACCGACCTCTGACGGAGCATCCGTCATCGGTGTCTTCCTTGGTCATCCATGGCTCGGGTCGTCTTTCTTCGGGGGGCGTTGATCAACTACATATTGTAGGAAAGCGCCCTCCTCTTCCCTCCTCCAGTGGTGGAGGTTCATCGTAGACTGTCAAGTATATAAAGGCTTTACTCCAGTAGCTTTCGTCTGTTTATGGGCTTCAGAAAGATTAGAATGCCTTGCAGGAGATGTCTCTTGTGAGGATTCCATTCAGGTCCAACATGACAGATGGCCCGAGGACCATCTCCTGCCCCCTTTCGACGATTTGGTTTCGCCGATGTAGACTGATTGCTCAATGGCGACCTCTCTATTTGAATCCCGCTCTCACTGGACAGCCGCTGGATATTGTCAACAAGCACTTGTACCCTGGCCTTGTCATATTTTCCTTTGAAGACGACTGAAAGAACTTTGATCTCGTCTCTAAAATGAACGTCCTGCATCACGGAGCAAGAATAACCAAGAGTCTTTCAGAGCCTAGAAATCGTCTCCACGGCTGCCATTAGTGACGGCATGGTCAGCAGTGAATATGTGAAGATCGATGCTCCATCAGCCCGCGCTGAAATACCAAGACATTTGCTTTGAAGTGGTTATGTCTAGCCTGGCCAGTTTCTGAAGGAAATGACATGGTGAGAGAAGATTCCTTCTTCCCGCAAGAGCCTTGGGTTGGGTTTCGATTTAATCAGGGGCTGGATCGAGAATTTTCTTCATCCACTTTACTAATGTAACCCATTGAGAGACTAGATCTATGGACTGGTGTTTTCTACGCGCTTGTTATGTGCTTCGTTAGAGGCTAGAGACTTCAGCGTCGCTGAGTAAATGAATTGTCGAGTCGAGGATCCATAAGATTCAGAACTTCAAGAAGCACTCAACCACATGCCAGGTGACTCTCTACCTCAACCCCCGCATGAAAGTATCACCAAATCATACGATACGGAACCGTGTCTTCAACTCGGGGCTTTTGTCGCTCTTGTTTAGCATCTATGAAGGTTGAAGTCCTTTTCGGGCGAAGCACTCAATACAAGTCTGATACTTGGCTGCAGGTCCAAGTATGGCCTGCCCTAAGGCTGTCTACCATAGGGCATTCTTGCTGCCATGCTCAAGTGGCACCTCAAGAGAGAGGAACATTGAAGGTTATATATAGTATTGCATAGGCACATACACTCCTACTGAGTAATATTCTAACACATGTCGAAACGCATTGCGATTATCGGAAGTTACCGCAGTACGCAGAGGAGGTTCCTGATCAACCAAATGAGTGTTGCAGGGCCAGGAAATATAACAAATGCCAGGTAAGATGCCGCTGAATCTGCGATCGATAGAAAAGCAAATGCGTTTGGCCATCTCATAAATCTACATGCCTTTACACGAGACCTAGCCAGCGGCTACATATTTATGTCGAGAAAGAGGCACGAGTCGTCCGAACGAGGTGATGTTTAAGTCTGATATCTACGTTGGATAAGATGCCTCCGTTACTGTCACAGGCAGCCCCCGATAATTAGACAATAGGAAAACTGCATACAATTAAGGGCTTATATCGGCCTTGACGACGGACACCATGGGTCAACATGTGATGGCCCAGCATTGAGTGCGACAATTAGACTGGATTTCGACATCGTTATGAAATCTATAATGAAAGCGGTCAACCGAGGTGACTATCTCACTGATATGCATATACAGGAATGTGCGTCAAAAGGAATGTGCACACACGAAAGCACGTGACTTCGCGAGCCAACGTCCCAAAAGATGGGTCTTAGTTACACGTCGGTCGTGTAATTGACGTCGACAGATGTTCACCATCATCACCACAAGGTGGTCCTGTTGCCGACGCTTCACTGCCTTCAATTTACCGCGAGAACTCAAGGCCAGGAAAACCGTCAGACTTCGGTCGGAATTCAAGCCATTATTTCAAGCCAAGACCTGCAGCGAGCGGCCGCAAACGGCCTTGGGAGCGAACATGAGCTCACACAATGACTGGGCGCGATCTCAGTCGCCAAGCGCAGACGACGATCCAGATCTTGCGTTAGCCATTGCGCTTTCCTTACAGCAAGATGAAATTGACAATGACGATAGAGCCAAGACTGCGTCACCTGCAACACAGGCCCCGACATTGTCGGTCACTAACACAGGCTCTCTGGGGCTGTTGGCTCTCGACCGGAAGAAGATGGAAGAAGAACGCATAGCAAGACTCAAGAAGCGTCCAGCGACGGAGGCTGGTATCGATATCCAGCCGTCACAGAGATCAAAGATGCAACGCCCTGAAGCCTCCGAGAGCCACAAGGTTGCTGTTGCTACGACGTTCAAGGCAATATCAGCAACATCAGCAACACCAGCCGCAAATGCTTCGGAATTGCCATTTTCGAAAGGAGCTTTCAAGCGTACTTGGGCCTACGGGAGTCCCAGAAACGGGGAAGACATCAAGATCGAGGAAGTCCTCCAGAAGGACAAACTGCAGCTGGCCGTGCTCTCATCCTTCCAATGGGACGAGGAATGGCTTCTCTCGAAGGTCAATGCCCGAGATACCAAGATGCTTCTAGTCGCCTATGCGAACAACGATGCCGAGGTATGTTCGAATGATATTTCATATGGTGGGTAGAGCGCTGAGTTTGTGCTTCACTACGCTAGAAAGCCAGTATCCGTTCCAATATTCCGGCCGGCAGTCTCATCAAATTTTGCTTCCCACCAATGCATGGCGGACACATGCATTCCAAGTTGCAGATATTGAAGTATGAAGGGTAAGTTGATTCTTCATTGTTTGAGCTATCAGCAGCTACCTAACATCGATTTGCAGCTATCTCCGTGTTGTAATTCCTTCCGGCAACCTGGTACCATATGATTGGGGAGAGACGGGCGGGCTGGAAAACGTCTGAGCTCCCAACTTCAGTTATTCTCGATGGTCTGGCTGACTTCTCCCAGATGGTTTTCCTGATCGACTTGCCCCGGCTCAATGGTCCACCTTTCGAGACACCATTTGGCACCGAGCTCCGACGTTTCCTGAGAGCGCTTGGCCTCGACGAGAAACTAGTAAAGAGTCTGGACAATTACGACTTCTCCGAGACAAGCCGTTACAGTTTCATTCACACCATGTCAGTAGCAACAACCAACTATATGACATCCTGACTGACGGCTGACATCGACCCATAGCTCTGGCAGCCACACCAAGGAAGCTTGGCAACACACAGGCCAGTCTACCCGTTCCGCTCGGGACGCGATGACTTCATGTTCGTGGCGAGTCAAAATTGTGCTGACTTAGACTTTCAATTAGGCTACTGCGGCTTAGGGAACAGTGTCCGAAGCTTGGGTTTGGCAACCGATAATGCCGTTGACATTGACTATGTTGTACGTAGGTGGTCTGCGCGGTCTTTTGGCCGAGCAAGTTGCCCAGCTCTTGGCGAGCGGTGACTAGGGGTGTTGCTAACCAATTTGTCATCCCAGGCATCTTCACTGGGATCGCTGAACCATGGGTTCTTAACGACGATATACTATGCCTGTCAAGGTGCGTGTGGTTGCAATCAACTCCGCTGAGGTTTGACAGGGTGAAAAGATCAGCATGCTAACGCCCAAGCGCTGGCACTCCTTGCAGGCGACTCAGGCATGAAAGAATACGAAGCCAGGCAGTCCAAAGCGACCAAGAACAAGGCTGCAAAAACAGGCTTGGTTGCTTCCAGACCGGTCGACATCGACAAGGAGCCGCTCCAATTGCAGCATCATTTCCGCATCTATTTTCCTACCGAAAAGACCGTTTCTAGTAGCCGGGGCGGTAGATCTGTAAGTTGTGTGCCGGCCGGGATCGCCGTGTTACCGGTCGATCCTGCTGCCCAAGTCCCCATGTATTTTCCCCGTATGCTCATTTAACGTGATTTAGTCTGCAGGCACCATTTGCGTACAAGAAAAATGGTGGAATTCTTCAACGTTTCCGCGAGAATTAATGCGAGATTGCCAGAGCGTCAGAAGTGGCCTGTTGCTACATAGCAAAGCCATATTCGTCCGTGAGCGGGCGCACGACGGCGCAGTCTGGGCATACGTGGGGAGTGCAAACTTGTCGGAGAGCGCATGGTAAGTCAAACAGGAACCCTCGCGATTGGCCTGCACGCTAGCCTTAGCGGTAAGGGCTGTGTGACGAAGAGTGAAGGGGCAGTCTAGTGTACTGTCTCGTCTTGGTGAGGGACAATAGCACAGAAGGGGCAAAGCCTACTGTCTGAGGGCAGCGTGAAGAAACGACGTGGGTCGATCATAGGGCTGACCTAGATTGAACTTCTAGGGGTCGATTAGTGAAGGACCGGGAGTCGGGAACGGCCAAGCTCTCTTGTCGCAACTGGGAGTGCGGTGTGTTAGTCGCGGTTAAGAGCAGCTCGGCAGGGACTGCGGACCAAGGCGCACAGGGACAGTCGCGTCCGCGGACAAAGGCGCAGACTTGGACGCTCGAGGGGCATGCCGAGAGCGAGGAGACAGTGAAGGGCAAGGAGGGAACGACGGCGGCAGCGGCAGAAAGCATGGGGAAGCGGCGGCATCAGCAGCTCGATCAGGACGGATCGGTGGGCCTCGATGGAGTGTTTGGAGCGACGATGCCCATTCCAATGAGGGTGCCGGCGAGGCGCTACACGTCAGATGAATCGGCAGCCAGCCGGCCATGGTTTTTTATGAAGGCCGACTGAAGTGAGCAAGCAGGGGTGGGTGTGTGATTCAGCTGAGACAATGACCAGTGGCAGCTAAGTAAGAGCAGCAGCAGCAGCAGCAGCACCAGTGAGCATGTAGCATGGAGAGCGAGGGTGAGAGGGAGTGAGAGAGAGAAAGAGAGAGAGAGACAGCATGGAGCTAAGCGTGTGCAGACTGCAAAGCACGGACGTGGATCTTCACGGATGGCATGGCGTCGTCTCAACCTGGAGCAAGCCCCGGGTCGGCCGGGCTAATTAGCCCTCCGATGGCGGTACCAATCCTGCCGTACCTAGCTTGCAAGCCAGCAGCCAGCTTCTTCTGTCTAGCGTTCTGCAACTGTGTGTATGGAGTAGTGGGCTAGTCTACTCTTAGGAAGCGAATGGATAGGTACCAATTCCAAGTGCTTGCGTCCCCACGCACTCCTGCAATTGGATGGCATGGGGTTCATGATCAAGAAGTTGCGGGAACGTCTTCGTGCTTTCCCCCCTCATGGCGCCTAGTGGCGGCCGTTGTCGGGTTGCAGATAGTGAGCGAGGAGGACGAGATGCTACGGATACTTACGTTAGTGTCCATGTGAGTGAGGATGGAATCCGAATGCGGCGAAGGGACTGCTGCACGACGCGCAGTTGACGGACTGCTAGACGCACATTGGAGTATTCCACGATACCGAAGGACAGGTTGGCCCACATGCCGGACAAACCCGGTGGGCTGGGTATGGAAAGGCAGACCTTGTCGACGTTGCAGTTCAGCAATATAATTAAATACAAATCGATGATGGAGATGTCCAGAGGCCCCAGGAGGGGAGGGGGCTCGCTGTCAGTCAGGGGCTAGTCTATGGAAACAATAAGTATTAAGTCGATGTGTGTAAGGGGCGGGATCGATGGGAAAGTGGCCGGTTGATCAGGGGTGAATCTATCGAACGCAACGGTGAGGTGTGTTGCAGACATGCGTACTCCGTACAATTACGGGATACTGGTTGTAGCGGAGGTAATGTTCGTCGGCGATTGGGTGATGCTTGGCCTTGATGGGCATTGGTAAATGGAACGGGGTCAAGAGAAAATGATATGAGGATGGATGGCGAAGAAAGCGAAAGAGAAAGAGAGAGAGAGAGAGCGGCTCCCAATGGCCGGCGGTGTTTGATGGTTCGTGATGCGTGAAGTGGGCGGCGAATGAATGAGGACGGGAGGGGATGGAGTTGGATTTACCGTCCGTACCAGTAGCCGCACCGAAGCATATGGATACTAGTCCATGCGGCTATTCTCATTATCCGTAGATAGCACGGGAAGTTATTCGGAATGCAGCTGGTGATTGGTGGTTTTGGTGGTTTTGGTTATTTATTTTTGTCTTGTCTACTCCGTACGTTTCGTGTCATCTAGAAATTTGTTTCCCGACCCCTCCAACATTGTTGTTGTCCAGCAGGACAGCATTGGGAGAACCGATGTCTTGGCAACGAGGTTTGCGTGCCGTGATGGTCTGGTCTGCTGGCTTGGCAGGTCGAGATGAAGGCGAAGATGGAGGCGAAGTTGGTGTTGAAGTTGATAAAAATTTACTGCCAAGACTCTAATCCAAGCGTGGCACGCGCGCGGTATTGCAATGCCGGTCGGTACACAAGCAAGATGAGGTCTCACCATCATTCCCCCCAATGCGGTTGAGACATGCATAGCAACGAGTCCAAGTCCCATGGTCCCCAAGTCCCCAATCCAGGTCCCAAGACTCCAGAATCCAAGGTGAAGGTGAAATGGGGCGTTTGGATGCGGTGTAGTGCGGATATACTTCAATGTACAAGCCCGCTTTGGAAGCTTGGCACAGTCGGGGTCCTTGTCAAGTTGGGCCGCTAGTGCGAACTCCGGATTGTGAGATCGCAGCTCTTTCTGGTGCCAAACACTGGTTTCCCTTTTCTTTTTCGGATTGTGGTGTGAATGGTTGGGGGTTGGCGTGCTGCGTGGGGAGCAAAGTGGTGCGTGGGCGGGACCTGGGATATGCGTGGGTGTCGTGTGGGTGTAGGTAAATATTTCCTTCATCGGACACACTCCCCCCCCTTCTCTCTCTGTTTTTCTCTCTTTCTCTCTCTCGGTACGAATACCTACCTACCTACCTCACTAGTGTGCGGATAAATACACAGTAAGTACTGACTACTGGCCTATGGATAGAGAGGAATGGATTATTAGTCTCTGTGCATCATATGGAAGCGTATCTGTACAGGGCATCTCTCTCTTTCTCTTTTCTCACTGGTTGGCAATGTGGAGGACAACTCCATTTCCGCCATCTACTCCCCTACCCACCCTATATCTACCCCTCGTCAGACAGTCTAGGAAGACTAGCTAACATGTTTCTTCTTATTACTTTCTTCTGCCATCCCTAGAGCCCAGAGAGGGAGGGAGAGAAGAGGAAAGGGTCAATATGCATGGAGGGTCCTCATTGGCAGTGACCACTGACAGGCTCACACTCACTGACACAACATGGCCTACCTAATCTCTGTTCCATCATTTTCTTTTTGTTCCACATATTGTTCCACAACCTGCTTTCCCACTCTTTTGATCATGTCGTCCACAAGCCTCGTGAGCTACATGTGTCGCTGACATCGCTCTGCGTGTGAAGCACCAGATCGTTGCCGCCTTTGGACTCGTTCCCTTTTCTTAGCTTGAGGCTATGGTATGGAGTCCCCGTCCAAACGTTTTGGCGGATATTTCTGCTCGGGGAGATGGTGGAGCAGCGATCAACTTTTCTGCCGGAACCACGACATGGGCTTGATTGGTTCAGAGATGGGATAACTCGGTTGGGTACGGATACAGATGCTGAAAGAAAAGATGGTGGGTAGAGTTGGGTTGAGTTGCCTCCTAGAATCCCAGCCTCTTACCAGTGCCACTGTAAACAGAGTACAGTCACCAGGAATAGGAGGGAAGGGGAAGTGGAGGGATGTGCAACTGCAAGCAGATGAGCGGCCGAGATGGAGGAGAAGGGAGGAGGGAGAAGGGGTTCCGGCGCCGGGATGCGGACTTGTCACGGCCGCACGCACCGGCACTATGCAATCCCCTTGCTGCTGGTCTTTGCCATTTGGTGTGGTTTTGGCCGGTCTGATGTGTCTGAAGTCACAAGTGTCGTCCCTTTTAGTTTCCTTAACCATCAATGCTATCCGGCGCGCGGTTATGTATGCTAAGAAGTGTCATCTAGTTGCAGTGGGACAACATACGTGACGGAGTCACATCAGTGCCACCACCTCACGCTACCCGATTGCTCGCTAGCCGGCCAAGGGCTTCCTGAAAATTGAATAATGTGACATGGCGCCGCTACTCAACCCACTCATACCGGATGAGCCGAGTTTCTTTCTAGGGGCCCAGGGGACTTTGCCTGTCTGCCCGGACAGACATTACGTTAACCAACGAGATTTAGCCAAGGGAAGCAAAGTATGGAGACAAATAGTCTGACTACTAGCAAGAGAGGTAGGTATTTGGACGGATTCCTACAGGCTAATAGTGTCTAGACTCGAGAGTCAAGGACTAAGAGGAGGAGGCGATGATGGCAGAGATGAGATCAAAACCAGTTCATCGGACAGGGTCTAGGGCACCGGGGACCAAACGTTTCAACTCTGCTGTGAAGAAATTGAATGGCGCTATACCATAAGGAGGGGAGGGGGGGTTGGAAACCAAGCAAGTTGCAGGCAAGTCGCAAATTGGAATAGGTGCAAAAAATAGACATTTTAGTCTATTTTGCCGCGGGTAGGAAGAGCATGGGAATTTCTCTGATCTGATCTACGGATCCCTTGGACTCTGGATACTGGACACTTTTTGGGAGTAGGGCAAGCCCGCAAGGCAGGCCTCAGTCCTGGCACCAGACAAAGAGGCGGAGACGGGCACTTTTGTCGTTGATCTAATTACCTGCACCCCGCCAACTACTACACGGCAATTTCTGTGCTACAGCGGCCCCGGCAAAGACCATGGGGAAACATCTCACTCAACGGGCGTACAGGGACAGGGGCGGCACGGCGGGGACATGGAACGATGAAGTATCAAGTATCCGTATTCTCTTCGTATGACAAAAAAGAGGTACGGAGTACAGAGTACTTTTGTCACTTTTGAGTACGTGATAAACCTCCTTGGCCCATGTCTCGGCAGCTGCTTCGCCGCCATGTTGTTAAGCTTCCAGTCTTCCCGCCTCCACGCAGCCAAATGGCGCGCCACTTCCGAATCTTCTAGGGGCCCAGAGAGCTGCACCGGGGATTGACATTGGTTCTTACCAGCCTGGCCGCTGCTCTTGGTGTAAGCCGCGGCGGCTTCGGGCCCAGGGGAATGGTTGAGGTCTGAACCAGGGCAAGGGGGGTGCCAGCGGGGGCGTTCCAGGGGGGAGGGGGGGTCGGTCAGCTGTGAACGAGGTCGGAATTGTGGGAGTTACTTATTGTCCGTCATAGTCCTTTTTCACCTATTATCTAGACGGGTAGCTAGGCACGTCGATGAGTGATCAACCAGTATGCAGATGGCAAAGTAGATCGAACTGCATCCGCATCGCCTAATCTTGCTAGCTGGGAGTTCAAGCATGAGCCTGCTGCAAAACCCTTGGCCCGTCGATGCTAGGGGCCAAGGGCCCAAAATTGACCAACTTCGCCAAATACTGCCCTGTCTTATTCACAGGGCGTCTTTTCGCTCGCGTTCCTCTGCTAGATCTCGTTGCGGCTTAGCCCGCCGCGTGCTAAGAGAGAATGTGGGCAAGGCGAGGCGCCAAAAAGCCAAGCCCTAGCTTCTCGTGTGCCAAGAAGAAGTCGGAGCTATGGACACACACAGCAACTGGCGAGTCGATATCGCGGTTGTCTTGGCTTTTGGTGGAAGACACCACCCACATTTTGTGTGGCGTAGGTTCATGTACCTACCGTAACGTCAGGCTGGCGGGAGGGGTCCCGAAGCTCATGCAACACTGCCGCAGACTAGGCGATATGGATCATGGCGGGGAGTTAGGGTGGCGACGGATAGGGAAGCGTAGAGAAAGTCCATTGGGCCGCGGGCCTTAGCCATCCCGATGACGACGGACAGACGAAGCGGTGGCTTATTCGCGCTCCTGGCTAGTAGCCGCATAAGCATTGTCGTATCATTTCCACAGGCCTAGCGGCTTCTAGGGGGGCGCTTCTCAAATAAGAGGCGCGCCAAGATATATCTTGGCATGATGATTTTTTTTTCGTGGCACGCGTACGTACACACGGCAAACGAGATGATCAATTCTTGAGGAGAGAGAGAGAGGGCTTGGGACTTTGGCTGATGAGGAGGAGGAGGAGGAGGAGGAGGACTTGGCAAGTTGGCAGAGAAAGGCTTGGGTCTTGGCAAAAACTTGCTCATCATCATGCGCCTCGCTATCGCGAGTATCCGTACCCGTACTCAACTTCTAGTGTACCCTCGCTCCGCCACGCCCGAGCGGCTACGTCTCGCATCACACGGCATCACGTAGGATCACCTTGATGGCGAGCCAAGAAAAAGAAGTGATAGACCATGGCTCGGAAGCGAGGGGAAGATGGCTTGGGAGGATACAAAGGGCCGGGGAGGGGTGGTGACTGAAGGAAGGTGGTGGTCATTCGGCGCCGGCGGCTGTGCCGGCACCGGCCTTCCGGAAGCCCGGCGGGCAGACGTAACAGTCCGTCCGGAAGGTGGAGGCGGAGGCAGAGACGGGCAAGGGACGTGGGAAGACCGGCAAGCGAGGCACTCGACCTGATACTGTCACAATGCCAAAGGGCGGGGCGGGGTTTGATGATGACGAGAGAGGTAATACTAGGAGGAGAGGGGAGGGGGAGGTTGTGTTCGTGACCAGCCAAGTCTACGCCAAGCTGTTTGATGCCAAGCTTGGTGATGGATGCCAAAGGCGAGACTCGACGGCCACCGCTAGACAGAAGACGTCGCCAGACCGGCAGACGATGTGCGACGAGGGTTCAACACCTTGTTGCTCCTTTACGCTAGTCTAGACTGCTTTTCTCTCTGTCTATCCGTACCTAGACTTGTTCCATGATTCCATGGTGTTATTAGTGACGGTCCCTTAGTTTCTAAGGGTGACAAATTTGACAAGACCCCTCCCCCATGTTCCACGCCAAGATAATCGCGGCACGGCGGCAAGTTTAAGATGGCTTGGGTCTTGTCCGCACCCGTTGCTGCCGCCCGCCGCCGTCAGTTTGCGGTGAAGGCCATGTGCAGGGCCCATACCAAGGTTGTTACAACTTACAAGGCGCGGCGGCCGCGGCGGCTGTTGCTTGCTCGCCTGGCTGCTGGCGACGTTGCGGGCGGGAGCTGGGATCAAGGGATCAATATGGCGGTGGTGCGAATGGCAGACCAGGCTGTCTGCGGGGGCCCTTTGGGACCCAAGTCACTTGACTACGGCTATATATGATGAGAGACGGGGGTATCCCCATCTCTGGGACTCATGTTTGAATAAATGCCAAGAGCTTTACCCCCCCGGTTACTCAGTCCCACCCCTGGCTGATCTGACATGACCTTGTCTTGGCCTCGGCTGAGCTCAGATGCCCTCGAGAGTCGAGACTGACTGATATAGCAAAAAGCGGGAGAGGTGAGGGGTCACGATGCAAATCGGAGACAGGGAGTGTGAAAGAGAAACCGAGATGGGTCGTGATGGGCAGGGAAACCGGATACCGACATGACTGGGGTGAAAAGAGGAAAGGGCAGCAAATAAGCCAAGCGGAGAAGGGCAGATAGACCGACTGACCGCCTCTGAGGCTGTGGGAATATCGGTGAGATGAGCCGTGTGCAAGAGACGAGAAAAGATGAGAGACATACACGCATCGTGAGGTGGATTGAAGTGAGGTTCATCACCGCCGACGTGAAGATGATCGAAGCCGGTCGGGGCCTTCTCATGGGTCGTGTGCGGCACGGCGAACGCTCCGGTCACACGTTCGCATTTCCCCCTGTGG